TTGGACCACACTTTTTAAAATAAATTTTAGCATTTTGATTAGTCAAAATACTAAATGTTATTTTTTATAGTATTCGGTAATATAGCGTTTGAACTAACTTTTAGATGTTAATGTAGTATTTTATAAAAAATTAATTCATGTAACGTTTAGCTTTTAGGTTTTGTTCGGCAATAACTTTTTAAATAGCTTTTAATTTTTTGATTGGTCGAAATGCTAAATGTTACTTAAAAAAGTTGTTCGGTAACATAGCGTTTGAAATATTTTTAGAGATTACGATAGCATTTTGTGAAAAGTTAACTCATATAATGTTTAACTTTTTGCGTTTCATGAAAAGCTATTAAACCAACTAACGGCTAAACGCTACTAAAACAACTAACAACTATCAAAACGGTTAATTTTACCGAACAGATCCTTTGCGTTTTACAAAAAAGCTACTCAACAGCTAATAATTAAACATTATTAAAACAACTAACAACTATCAAAATAGCTAATTTTGTCAAACAGATCCTATATTTATAAAAATCAATTCCATTTTGAAGTTTTTTCCTATTAACTAACAATGGGTTTATATTTATATTTTATTTAAACTTTATTAACCTTGTACAAATAATTATTGATATAATTTTTTTTCAAACTAATTATTTTTTGTGATCATTTTGTTTACAATTATTTAAAATAACAATTATCTATGAAACATTGTTTTTTCAAAAATTTATGTTTATGACACATTAAAATAAAAGATAACAAATACATATAATAATCATTTTACATTTTAACAGCAATTATTATCGACTAATAACTATTAGCTAAACGAAACGGTTCATAAGTTTAGTTAAAATAAGAAAAATACAAATAATTTGAAACAGTCAAAATTAATGAAGAAGAGCATTATTTATGTATTTATATGTAATAACGTGTGTGGATCGGATTCCTTAGACAGGAAAGGAGAGTGGATCAATAAGTTTTTTCAAGGAAAGGACAAATCTTTCCCTAGTAGTTTTCTGCTGTCTTTTTCACACCTCCTTTTACTGTCCCAAAAAGGCAAAAAACTTAAGTTAAAAGCATAAATTATTTAAAAAATAAAACAAATTTTATCCATTATTGTTGGCGTAGGTTACTAAATTCACGTGACACAGGTTGGCGTTATACTCACGTTCTGATCTTTCATGGACCCCATAAGCTTGGCAGATACTGCAGCCTCAATCGTTAGATCAACTGACCTTTCCTTAAATATAAAATATTTGGGACCACTAGATGTATTGAACTCGGAAAATGCCCAAATCTAGTAGCTATGATACGAATTCAGTAGTATGGTGATCATGCAGGAAAAATATTGAATGTTTTTTTTTTTATTTGGTTCAAATAGAATTTATAATCAAACATGTAATACTCATTAGATATAGAGATACTCTGATACAAAAGATTTCTACTCGGTTTGGTAAAATTAACTATTTTGATAGCTGTTAGCTGTTTTAATAGCTTTTTATGAAATACTAAAACGTTATCATAATTTCTAAAATTTAATTCAAACGCTATGTTACCGAACAACTTTTTAATTAGAATTTAGTATTTTGAGCGATAAAACGTTAAAAGCTACTTAAAAAGTTGTTATCGAACACAACATTCATTAGAGTATTTATATTGAAATTGAAAGTGGTTTTCAGATAAAATATTATAAATATAAAAAATTTATTAAATATAGAAATATTTGGTGCCTCTATTTTAAACGAAATGACCGAAGCGTTAATAAATTTAAAAATCTTATAATTAGGTTTGGAAAATAAAAGTATTTAGATATTAATTTAACTATAAATCAGATATTAAGGGTTTTTTTTTAACATAAATTTTTCCTTATAGTATGGATTCCTCATTTCCAACCACACCCTAAGGTAAAGTAGGGGTTAGGAGTGATACCATAATATAGTTCCATATATGGTAATGATGAACCTTGTCCGCTATTTTTGGTTCCCTTTAGATCAAGGCATCGACCTAGGATTATCTATTTCCTTTTTGGGAGGCCTATCATTCTCTGCCACGTATAACATCTGAATCTAATGTGGCACTAGCATTGGTTTTCATTTATTTATTTATTTATTTTAGTTACCTCAGCTTTACCTAACATTTAAATATAAAGTATATCGGATCTCTCTTTACGTGTGAGTGAAAGATCTCGGATTGTTAACCTTTTAACCAGAATAATCTTTACCAAGTTAATAAATAAAATGAAAATTATCTTTATTCTGTAGTCTACGTATTCTTTTGAGCCGTTGAGACTTCAATAAATAAAACAGATTAATAATTAAAACAATTGACTCATAGTAAAATTAAAATATATTAATTGCCTTTATTTATTTCTTTATAAATTTTGTATTATGTAATGGCAAATTTTCTTTAATTCGAAAAAAAAAAAGAAAAAAGAAAAGAGAGATAGACGGTCAGATTAAGGTAATTAAAGCAAATATTTTTACTTAATAATAAAGTAAAACAACTAAAGGAATTTTACAAAATATAACATATATTTTTTAAATAATAAAAAAATAGTTAAGTAATTAATTATAAATTGAAATTTTACGTGAGAGTGGACATCTTTTTCTAATAATATTATATTGTTGAACCGACCATTATAATAATGCAGCCAGCAAAATTCATGATTCATGTGATTGCCGTATATGAGATTTCTTGTTCAAATGATATTTGACAATTTCATCACAAAAATCTCGAATATACTTCTTAAATATTAGTACTAAGTGCATATATTACTTAGCAATATATTCAAATTCGAATCTCCTCCTCCAATATTCAAAAATAAAAAAAATAAAATTTGATACAAATTAAAAATATAGCGGAAAAAATATTAATATAATTTCTGAAAGCACTAAATTAATATGAGGCAGTTTACTCTTAAAATTTATCAGAAAAGAAGACTTAAATTTAATATATATAAATTCATAAATATGTAAGTAAAAAAAGAAAGAAATTGGATACGCGAATATTAATTGAAAAATAAATTATTCATTTTTGGAAGTATTATAAAAATGTCCCACTAATTAGAATTTTTGTCACTATGAGGATGTATTATATGGAATTCATTTCAATTTCAACCTTGGTAAATAAAAATGAATTTCAATCTCAAAATATTATATTCAAATTCTTTCATTGTTGGAATCAAAGTAGTTTGTACATATTTTATAACTATATTTTCCAAAAGAAGTATGAACCGTCCACTATATTTTATAACTATAAAAATGGAAAAATTAGAAAAAAAAAAAAGAAAAAGAAAAAGAAAATATTTTTTTAGTTTTATTAGCTCCTTTTGGACAGTTGTATAATATCATAAGATGGCCACAATTCAATGATTGCTTTTTATATTAATGATTTTCTCAACTACACATTCAGTACATCAAAATCATCCAGTCTGTGGCTTCATAATCAAATCCTATAATACATACATCATTCTTTTAAAGATTTTTATCTATAAAAATAATTTTTTTAAAACACCGGTATAAGGACCCTATCAGCAGAGATCGCTTAATCCGGTTCGGGGTTTAGTTATAATTAAAACTCTTTATCCTCTTTGTAAGTGTGTTTAGTGAGGATAGAACCCGAAAGTTTTTTTCACATGTCCAGTATGTGTTGCCAATTGAGTCTCAACCCGATAGGTTATAAAAGTAAATTTGTTAGGCATCACAATACAACCAACCAAAATTAAAATTAGGGTTTAGTTACCGGAATTCAATTTCCATCGGGAAAATTACCTTTTTAGAAAAGCAAAATAATGATAATAAAAGTTTTCAAGAAAAGTAGCAAAATTATAACAATAAATATTATTTAAAATGAACTTCAAAATGAGCCCCTCAAAAATCATATATATTTATATTATATCCTGATTAAAAATATATCATACAAATCAAAAGTCTAAAATTTATAAATTACAAATATATTTTTATTGTTTAATTTCAAAAATCAAATACGAGCATGATATCAATTTAATACGTCCAAATATTAAGATTAATTTATTTTTTAATTAGTTTAGTTTCAACTTAATTAGTGTCGGTCCAAAAAATAATGCCATAAAATTATGTTTAACCTTTCACATTACAAGGAGTGTTTATGGCTTGGTGTAGTTTGATGTGTTCAAACTAAACTAATAATGAGGGCTTACAAAAAAACTAAATCAAACTATATTCAAATTAATAAAATATTTAAATCCAAATTAATTTGGTTTAATTCAATTTAGTAATTTAATAGTAGTTTGAAAGTATAATAATAAATAATTAAAAAATTAATTAAAAAATAAATTTATTCAAAAGAAAAATAATATCACATTAATAACTCCTTTATGAATAAAAAAAGTACCTATTGCTTTTTAATATAAATTTTGAAAATAAAAAATTAGCTTATTTAATATAATATAAGACTTATTAAGAAAAGAATAAATTTATTTATTCGAGTTCTGGGTACGGAGTACCTTTAAAATTTAATAGGGAGTTTCTTCCGTAGACCTATTCGGTGCGAATCTAAATTAATCAAATTAGTGGACTTTGAATGCTGAATGATTTCAAAAACAAAAAATATATTTACTAATTTAAATGGACTTATATTATATATATTCAATTTAAGGTTTGGATTTTTCACCTCAAAACTATAACCCGAACTAACTTTTCAGTTTTTACAGTTTCAAACTAAATTAAAATCACTAATTTTTTTAAAATTACGATTTTAGTTCAGTTTGGATCAATTTGAATAATTTAGGGGATTTATGACGGTTCATGAAACCATACTACTCGTAAACATTAAGCTTAGCCGAGTAGAAAAAGGGAAATCTGTACACGTGTGAAAAAAATTGAAGACTCAAGTGTGAAAAATGAAAATTAAATTAACCATCTAAAACATATGGGCAAATGTAAGAACGCAAAACTTAATAGTTAACACGTCATCATCTTCTTTCTCTCCTTTCTGCTCCTTTAAACCCGTTGCTTCTCTCTTACAAATTACCATGGTCTTTTTCTTTCTTTCTTTCTTTAACTCTCTCTCTCTCTCTCTCTCTCTCTCTCTCTCTCCATTTGTTCATATAATCTGACAAACGGCCGTTTTCACCATCTTCAAATAAGCCTCTTCTCTTTCTTTTTTTCTCTCCCAAATGTACTTTAGCTAAGGTTTCTTGCTTACACCTAAAAAGAAACCCACTCTCTCTCTACTTCTTGATCCCATCCGTTACTCTCAAGAAACTGTCTTTGAATTTCTTTTTCTTGAACAAGATTTCAGTATACAAATTGGTTTTCCTTTTTCTTATTAGTTTTGCTTTTAAAGGTCAAATATACTAAAACCAAGAAGATAATTCAATATACCATGTTGGATCTCAATCTTGATATCATCTCTACTGACTCATCTTCTTGTGATATTAGCAAGAACAACAAGAATATGGAAGTAACAGAGACAAGCAATAAGACTGTTCAAATGGAGGAAGATTCTACAAACTCTTCCTCCATTATTATTAACACAGTACCAGAAGATGAGAACTCTTCCAATAATTACACTGCATTCATTTTCGATATCTTGAAAAAGGAAAAAGTAGATGATAATAAAAATCTAATTGATTTCACTACGCATCAGCTTTTTCCAGAGAAAAGTGGGTTGGAATTAGATTTGCAGCCTGGATTGTCAATGGTAAGGCCTCAGTGGCTTAAATTGTCGCAGATGGAGCCCAGTGGAGAAGCAGAGCTGAGAATTGTGCAGCAAAAACAGCAGCAAATGAGAAAGAGCAGAAGAGGACCAAGGTCTAGAAGCTCTCAGTATAGAGGAGTTACATTTTACAGAAGAACTGGAAGATGGGAGTCTCATATTTGGTTAGTATTTTGCTAATGGGATATATTTATTAATTTTTCTTTTTTTATGCATGTTTATAATGATTTTTAGGGTTTACATATGATTAAATTATCTTTCTTTTCTTTTCTTTTCTTTTCTTTTGGAGTTACATTTTACAGAAGAACTGGAAGATGGGAGTCTCATATTTGGTTAGTATTTTGCTAATGGGATATATTTATTAATTTTTCTTTTTTTATGCATGTTTATAATGATTTTTAGGGTTTACATATGATTAAATTATCTTTCTTTTCTTTTCTTTTCTTTTCTTTTTGTGTGTGTGCAGGGATTGTGGAAAGCAAGTATATTTAGGTAATTAAAGAATGATTAAATTTAAATTTCTGCAAGATTTTAATTTTTTGCTTATTGTGATTTTTAATTAATTTTTTTTTTGTTTCAACAGGTGGATTTGACACTGCTTTTTCTGCAGCAAGGTAAGAATTTTGATTGTTTCCCTTTTTTTAATTTTTCTTCTTGCTTTAATTATATGTATATTTTACTAAATTTAAATCTTATAAATTCAGAGCATATGATCGAGCTGCAATTAAGTTCCGAGGAGTTGATGCAGATATCAATTTTAATTTAAGTGACTATGAAGAAGATATTAAGCAGGTAACAATCTGTTCAATAAATGAAATTTTGATAATTTTAATAATTTTTTCCATTCAATTATATCATATACATATATTAACGGCAAATTTTAATTCATTGAAATGCAGATGAAAAACCTGAGCAAAGAAGAATTTATTCATATTCTTCGTCGCCAAAGCACAGGGTTCGCCAGAGGCAGCTCCAGATACAGAGGTGTAACTCGTCACAAATGTGGTAGATGGGAAGCAAGAATGGGGCAATTCCATGGAAAAAAGTAATGACATTTACTATTTTTTTAAATTAAAAAAAAAAAAAAAGATTTTAGGATGAATCTTATTCTTGACAAAAAAAAATATGTCTAAAATGGATATTTTATTCCAAAAATAAATTACCAGGTATAATTATCTCGGATTATTCGACAGCGAAGCAGAAGCTGCAAGGTCCTTGAATTATTAGTTAATAATCTTTATTTTTTTATGTTTATAATTTTTTTGTGATTTATTCTAATGTGTAAATTTCATTTTCATTGTGCATAAATTCAGGGCTTATGATATGGCAGCTATCAAATGTAATGGAAGAGAAGCAGTAACCAATTTTGAGCCTAGTGTTTATGATGGAGAACCTATTTTTGATTTAAGTTCTGAAGGTAATAATTATGGAATTATTATGATTTTCTTGTTTTAATTCAGGAAATCCTCTTTTTTTTTTTTTTTAATTATATTTTTCTATATTTGATTAGTACTTATAATGCAGGGAATGGCCACAATCTTGATTTAAGTCTTGGAACTTCTGCACCAACAAATAATAACAATGTGAGAGACTGCAATTTTCTTTGCACTGATCACAAATTACCTAACAAAGATAGACTAAAGGTATTGTCTAAAAAACTTGGATTTCGAGAATAAGTTTAAATTTTTAATATGGTGTCAGAGCTCATTCATTTTGTATGCAAAATAATCGCATTTTCTGTGCTTTTAAAGGGTCGAAGTACTGCTTCTTGTACACCTAAAGGTTCTGCAAGTTTATCAATGCCATCAAAGTTTCTCCCAACGCTGTCTAGTTTATTACCAAGCAATCAGGTAAGCATTAGGGCTATTTCAACTATATTGATATAAACATATTAATTAGGTTTTTGCAATTTAGAATTTCTATCGCTGACAGCAGCTTTTGGACAAAAGTTGAGTTGGTTTTTCCAAAAAAGTTCATTTACAATCCTCAAAAGACAGAGATTAGAATTAATTTCATTTACAAAAATGGAAAAATATTTCTGAATATCTTATGATGATAGGAAAGGGTAACAGAGAAGAGCATCGTGGAGGCGAAAACCTCGATTTGGCAATGGCAAAACAATAATGAAAACAACAAGAATAACAACAATGTTGCTTGAATTTCATCTGCAGCATCATCATGATTCGCTTCATCGACAACAAAATGCCTCTTCAATAACCTTTCCATTCGGGGCCGACAGTTTTAATAATTATTACTATTACTGGGAATTGTAAATTAATTTTCGAAGAGTTCCAATCGAATCGCAGCCATATTAATTTAGAAACAAAAAATGTACTACGTACTCATTGTAAAAAAGAAAATTAGCACCTTAATCAGCAAAAATATGCTACTGTCAGTTGCTCTTTAATTAGAATGTTAGTTGAGAAGGAGAAATAGTGAAAAAGAACAATTATAATGTGTAGGGCCCTTTTCTGTTTAGAGTATCATATTTATAAGACTTCTGTTCATAACTGCCATTGTAGTCATTTATGGTTTCCAGCAAGGGAGAGATAAGATCTAACCTTTGATTCTTTTGGTTAAGGATTTGTGTGTTTGTAGATATATATATAAGATGAAGACAAGACATTGCTTCTTTCAATCACTAATTTTATCAATTCAGAATGAATTGAGTGATGTGATATCGTCACTTGGACATTTTCTGCTTCATGATCTGCAATTTATATGGTGGAGCAATCAATAATTCTTTTGTTATTCACTCTGGGATCACTTGAGGCCATATATGCTTCGTCGAAAAGACTTACATGCATTCGGTGTATAGGTTGATGTATCAAATTAATCTTTTAGTTGTAACGAGTGTATTTTTTATTTATAATAAAATAACATTTTTTAAAAAATCCTTATTTATGGATTAGTTTGATTATATAAATTCAGTAGGTGACCCAACCCAAATAATTAAAGAGGTCAAAAAATAATTTTACTTAATGATGAGGTAAAATTAATATATATATATATTTATATATATTAAAAAATTCTTATATTGCAAATTGATTTTTCTTTTTATTTGGGGCCACAGTCCCTCTTAAAATAGCCTGCTTCCACCCTGATGGGGACATGTTAGACAAGTCTTAATCTAGGTTTCATATTGAGTCTAAAACCATTTTCATACACTCCTCCGATAGTTAATTATCATCACAAGCTAACAAGATAACATGCGAAGTTAGGGGATTTGATTTGAGTTCTCGCAATTATAGGAGCTTTCACCGATTTGTTTAATCAAGTCATGAGGAGAGCAACAAATCTTTTCTATGAATGGCAATAGATAGGGTAACTGTTTACAATACACTACTTGAATTCAAACATGATTATAAATTAGATATTTAAATTCATTTTAAACTAGTTTAAAAATTTATTTTTAATACCTAATTTTGTTCCCAACACGATTAAATAATTCGTTTAAATACCTAAAAACCGTTTAAATACCCGTCTAACATTAAAAATATTTTTATTTTTTATTTTCCAAAATAAAAGTAATTAAGGAAATTATAAATTATTATTTGACTTAATAAAATATATGATGTAATTATAAATATAATTATAGCATTAATTATAATAAAAAGGTGTATATGTATAATTACACAATTATACAATTAGATATACAATTGTAGAAGATGAATCGTTTGTTTTGAGCCAAGGGAAAAGGAGTAAAACAGTGAGTTTTAGCTTCCTTGGGTTAAGTTAACTCAAAGTAAAGTAGTGGATCCTACGTTAAATGTCACTTTAATCCTTTTTATGGTTTGATTTTTAAAATGGGGTGTTAATATATTTAAGTTTATAAATGGAGGTGCTCGAGATACAAATGTCATTTTAAGGTGATTTCACAATAAAACGCATAATTGAGGGTATATTTATAGTTTAAGCCTTTTGGTTTAGACAAGCAGTTTAGTTTCTTTCATTTTATCCCTCATTTGCAGTAAAAAAAAATGATTATTCTAAATATTTTTAGAATGTTCATTAAACGAGTAATGGATAGTGTGTCCCGAATTTTTTAACCCAAATCTAATCTGAACTTGACATGGATGATAAAAATATTATTTGAATTCTGTCCCAAATCTATTTATTCACAATCCGAACCAACTAAAATCAGGTCAGATCATATTAGGTACCCATCAAATCGGATAAAATTGTCATTCCCAATCTTTTTAGTTTCATTAATTATATATATATATATATATTACTATGTAGTCACTTTATTATAATGAATTATACTATTTAGCACTTCTATTTTCAAAAATTAATTTACTGGCCTTATATTTGTACTTGGTCAAGTAATTATCAGTATTTTTACTAATTTTAACATTAGATTACGATAAAATATTGATTTTACCTTAGTCCAAGTTTGAAAATTTCTTTTCTATCGTAGAATGACAGTCTTGCTTCACTCAAATTAACTACTCACTCTGTCCCGAAACATAAGTTATTTTTGGGTGATTATTTTATTTTAAAATATAAATATTTTTGAGTATTTTAAGAAGTAATGAATAATATTTTTCCAACGTTACTCTTATTTACATTAAACACAATAACTACCTCTACAAGTAACTCTTAGTTTTGAGATAAATAATAATTTGGTCAAATTACTTTTGATTTTATTACAATTTAGGAGAATTAATTGCAAAAATTTTAAACGACTAATATTTTGGAACAAAGAGAGTATCATTTCTATGTATTATGATTAATTTTTTCACCTAATACTGTCTCTCTTCAAAGCTGTAAAAAAGGAAAAAGAACGAGACATAATTAAAAGGGAAAGGGTTTCCACTTCATGACTTCTTACCAATGTTATCAAAACCAGTTTGGACAGTTAAATAACCGAATGAATGAATTATTGATTTTATCAATGGGTCATGAAAAATTAATAATATATATTAATTAAATAATTATAGTTTAAAATAATTATAATATAAAAAAGTATTAAAAAATTGATCAAGTCAATTGGATCTGTGTAGGTCGACCGGTTCAACCATAGATCAATTGATTCTCTTTTTTAAATTATTTAAAAGTAAAACTGGCGCAATTTTGAACTTGATTCACCGGTTTCCAAATTAATTTGCCAAATCGGACCGGGTTTAATAATTGTACTTCTTAATCCCACAAAACAAGAATTCAATTCTTGAATTCGAACCCATCTTCTCAAATGTCTCTCTTTAATTATAGAAAGTTCTTACAACAATTATAACACTACTTATGTGGTGAGAGGTAAGTAGATTAGCAAAGTAAAACTTCTCGAAAATGGATAGATTCAGTTTATTTCGTTTGGATTATCAATTCAACTCCCAAAAAAATAGGTCGTCGTTCAACTTTCAATAAGTAATTTCTCTAGAGAAGGTTAAGAAAGTTGAGCTTACCTAGTTAAATGCAATGAAGTTATTAATTTATCATATTATCTAAATACATTTTAAATTTATATTATAAATATTATTGTTTTATATAATTTGAAAGCAATTTACTTTACGGCAAGTTGATTTACATAGCAAACACACGTAAATTATACTTTTTGAAATGTATGTCATCTTAATCCAATAATTAACATCTGAATATAAACATCGATTTTGTTCTCTTTTTTTTTTATTTCTTTCAATGTCTAAAAAATTCTTTATAATACCTTTTTGAAAATAAAATTAACAAAAATGAGAGAATATAATAAAGAGAGCAGGTGACAATCTAAATGAGAAGTGTGCAAATAGGCGGTTCGGTTTTGAACCGAACTGAACTATAAAAACCGAAATCTGTAAAAACCGAAAGTTTTTCCTTCAAACCGAAAATAAGTTCGGAAATCAAATTAAACAGGTCACTTCTATTTGATACACATCGATTTGATTTTACTCAGAAAATAGTGTTTTGTAATAATTGATTTAAAGACTGAAAACCGAAATTATAAAAGATTGAGAACTGAAAACAAAATAATTGAATCAAAATCAAATATAATTTGGTTTGGTTCGATTTTTTTTTTTCAAATTTTTCTCACCTGTAATCTAAATAAATAAATGAAGTGAAAAGATTAAGTAAACTAGTTTACTTTGATGTCCAAAAACAAATTTCCAGCCAACTGCACTTAATCCTAAAAAAAAAAAAAATCAGTTAAAACATTTGATTGATGAAAAAATAAAATCAAAAATACTAAAATTTTGAAATATTATGGCCATATTGCTTATTTATGGTAGACTTAGAGTATCTCTAATACTAATGTGGATCGTGACTTATGTGTCATATGGAATAAAATGTGTGAATAGTGTTATGGCTAAATGTCTATTTATAGACGTTGAATTTTAAAAATCTTTTTCAAATGCACTACTTTCATATCCTCTTACATCCTTTTTCTTCTTTTTTCTATGGGTCCACAATTTAATATACGGTCTATTGCAATTAATTTTCATATTGTCTAATAAACTTCTAGAAATAGAAGGTGTAGTAAATAATATCTATTTATTTTTTTTGACATACCAAAAAAACATTAGCATTGAAGAATATTTTTAAAATTTTTTTTTTATTTTTCTGATGTGTCAATTAAATAAAAGGATCCACGTTAGCATTAAAGATATTTTTAATAGTATTTAATAGTGTTGAGGTGAGTGTGCATATATTATAGTAAAATACATCTTCTTTGTATAACAAAATATTACATATAAGTAACTTTTTATAATAAAATTCACCTACTTTTTTCTCTCTTACTTCCTAACCCTAAATTTACTTTGTGATTGCCATTGTTAATTAATGAAAATTTCTACTTTCTTTTTCTCAGTCATTTTCAATAAACTCATATTTATTTTTCTATAATGAATCCAATTTTTTCTTTAATTTTTGCTGAAATTTTTGTTTTCTCTCTAGACTTAAAAAATAAAAAAAGTATGACCTTCCATTTTATTTTATTGAATTTAGATCTTGATTTTACAGATGTAAATCTTTTATCAACGAGGTTTAATAGTACCGTTTGTTCCTCTATCGACGCACAATGACCGTTGGTATGTATACTTCATATGCAGCTAGTTCTTAAAGAAAAATCCAACTAAAAAAAAAAATCTAAAGAAGTAGTTCAATAGAGAACAAGTAATTACTCTAAAAATATATATTTTCTGTCAAAATCATATTCAATTAGGAATATCTAACAGCATCTATGTTTGTCATAAGAAGCAATAAGCTTTTTATCTTCATTTATTAAAAGTTCATAATCTAATAATTATAATCATAAGTTCTTTATTCATCTATCCTTATTTTCAATGATTGAGACTTTGATATTACTAATGAATTATTGTGTTTTGAAAAAAGAAACTTCCTACTAGTTGATGCCTTAATCTAAATCTGCAATAGCAAATTAATACATAACTATTTAGATTAAGACACATCCCAATGTTGAAAAAAAAAAAGTTATGCATTAGTAAAATATAGCTTTAATTATGATTATTTAATAAACATTTAATGATTCATTAAATACAACACTATTTGATCTTGCTATCATGAATTGAGGACTCAACGCCGTGGTCTTGTAGAAAGGAGGCAAGGTCTTCCATCAGTGCTCGAGGATCGGTGCGCTCTATGAGGATGTCTTAAATTGGGATGTCAATATATAATCGGTGTCCCGAT